ATGACCGGTTGACAGACAGAGAGACAGCATCAAAAGGGGCCGGTGAGGGGCCGGTGCGACCGATACAGTGTTGCCGGTATTTACGGGTGTGGGCAAGGTAAAGCATAAGTATGGTGGGAGTACGCATTGAGAGGGGCGGTGCTTTATGTTAAGGTTTGTATTCACTATCCGAAAGAACAAAGGAATGAAATTCGGTATATTTGGACAGCAAACCGAATGCATGCGGCCGTTCGCCATTCGGTTCGCTCCATCATCCGTTTCCAGTCGGTATATCAGAGACGTTCGCAAACGAATGAGAATTTGTTGGATAGTAGCATTCGTTCGTTCGGATAGTGACTACGCACCTTTATGTAGATGAAAAGGTGGGGAAAGGAAATAGATCACCTGAGATCCAAACTATTTTTGCATCATTCTTTTCACCTAGCTGTTTCGGTGTGTACGTTAAGTGTTTCAAAAATGGCTATTTATACGACCGAAGAGAAAGTGCATATCGTTAAATGGTTTTACATTTCCTCAAGTGTGGAAGAGCGATTTGTGTTCACCTTTCAAGAGCGCCCTGTGCCTTGTGCCACAACTGTACGCAACATTGTCCATAAATTTGAGCAAACAGGCTGCATTGCGGCGTGCAGAAATTGTGACAATAAGGAAGGCGCAGAGAAGGTGATTCCCGACGAGGAAATTAATATTTGTGCCGCGGTCGAAACAAGCGAACCTTGTTCAAGCCGAAATATAGCCGAACAAGTTGGTTGCAATGCTCGAACGGTGCGCAGGGTTTTAAAAAAGCATGGATACAAGTCCTACAAAATCAGTACCACGCAAGAAATTTTTCCCGCAGATTGTAACAGACGTCTGGAGTTTTACGAGGCTGTAAGAGAAAGAGGCAATCGGAATAATTTATTTTTGGAAAATATATTATTCTGAGATGAAAGCTCGTTTCCCTTACATGGCTACCACAATCCTTCGATAGTACGTTATTGGTCTCGAGAAAATAAGCACCTTAGTATGGCACTGCGGACACAATATCCACAAAAACTAAATGTTTGAGCTGGCATGCTGCAAAATCATATCATTGGGCCTTTTTTATTGATGGTATGTTAACAGCTGCCAAATATTTGGATATGCTACAAAACCAAATTGTACCAGCAGTTCAAAATTTGCCAATCAATTTTGAGGAAGTGTGGTTTCAGCAGGATAGCTGTCTTGCGCATAACGCGCGGAACGTAAATCTGTTCCTTCAAACCACATTTCCCAATCGGCTAATTTCCACACAAGGCACAATTAATTGGCCACCACGTTCTCCTGATTTGTCGCCCAATGACTTCTTTCTGTGTGCATAACCATGAACGACCCATGAATATGGACGAGCTGCGATTAAAAATCGTTCAGTCGTTAAGAAATATCCCCGTTGTTATGTTAGCTAAAGTTAGGTCAGAGTTTTATAACCGTCTTGGCTATTGCGAAGCACAACAGGAAGGCATTTTTGAACCTTTGATTTAAATTATTTTTTATAATTATTTTGCTAATTGTCCTTTTTTAAAGTTGATTTTTAGTCATTTTTTTATTGCTTGTTTTAACTTATGCTGAAACAGCAACAAAAACATGAGCAGTGTAGATACAACCGGACGTTTAATTATTTTTATTGTTAAAAGATTAAACGTCTCGAGATGTATGGATAACCTTCAAAATCGTAAATATATTGTAGAATGATGTACACCCAACCCCTTTCAAAATCCGACTGATTTGATAAATTTGTGAAAGTATGTCTACCGTTCTACGACTTCGATACTATCAGTGTTGCCATATGAAGTTTTGAAAATTTCCCGAAGCCTGGTTGGCACGGTCAATCTACCAACAAAAAATATTCTTTTAAAATATTTATCTGATGATACTTTTAGAAATGCCAAGTTTGAGAAAACAAATTAAATACACACACTAAATTGTGTCCAAAAATATGCTTTCTAAAAATGTATTTCCTCGAAAGAAACCTTAATGTTAGGGAATATTTCCTAGACCTGGCATCTATGGCCATATTCTTTCCCACCACTTGATTTTTCTTAGCTGATTGGTCTCACCCCGCCTCTAAAATTTGGAAGCCATGCATTTCTCTTCGCCACGTGTCGGCACCAAACCAAACCAAACTCTGGAGTCATAGGCGTACTAATATTTTATTTCCATTTAGATTTAGTATTACAGCCAATTTTAGTTTAAAAGTTTTGCTTATGAATTCTGGAAAATTTAATTTATTAGAATTTTTATAAGAATATTTTTATGACAGCTGACAATGTTTAAGATGGGAACAGTGGAACAACGCCTTCACCACGCTGCTTCTTAAGCCCCATACATACTCAATATAAAAAAAACTCATCGACATGATCAAAAAATTTTATGATCAAGCGGGTTTTGTATCATAAATAAAAACAGATAAACAATTTTTATGTAAAACGACCTTTAAAATTAACATTATAAACATTATAAAACTGTTAATTGTGCTACCCTTTAAGGGGTGTGAAATAAATTACTTATTTATAATAATACTGAATTTATGCGGGGTGGTATAACTAGTGTTATAACGGTTGTAGCTATAGTATTACGGGCAACCAACGGTCCAGCTACGTCGAAACACCGGTTACCATTAGAACACCGAAGTTAAGCGACGTAAGGCAATACTAGTGGATAGACGGGTGACCAGTTCGAAACTCTGTATCGTGCTGTTGTCCAATAAAGGCAAAAGTGTAAAATCTATTGACACACACTGCCCATTCACGCCGCGCCGGTTCGAGGCCGGATGAGATCGGATATCTCGTGAGTTAGAGTCGATTTAGACACTTGCTCACTTGTTTAGGACCGCGGTTCGGATTCCGGGTAAACAAAGTAGGCCCCGTCCAGATTAGCCCTGGCAGCAAAAAGGAGACGTTAACTTCAAATCTTTTACTTTACTTTATAGTATTACATTATAACATTATCATGTCATAATATTATGAAATAATATTTTCTACTACCAATTTTTTTAATATTGGTACAGCAAACTTATCAGTATAAAGTTTTACTTATCTTTATCTTTTTTATTGCTATTTGTAATTCTGAATACGAGGATAAGAAATTTTAGTTTTTTTAGTTTTAAGTACGCCTATGACCGAAAGCGAACGTCTACCTCCCGCTTCTAATCAGCGGCCATAATTGGATGGAATCAGGGATGAGTAAATATAAAGGACCCTAAAATTAATAAATTTTGCTTGTCTGCTCTGTTCAAACACGTAAGAAATATTTATTGATGGATCATAGCAGAGAAGTAATAAAAAGGCCGTTTTTATGAATAACAAAATGGTATTTGAACATCATATTATAATCGAATTGAATTGACAATAGATTAATTTATAAGCTATCCGCAGAAAATTGACAATAATAATAAAAACATGACACATGGCAATTAATATAATTCCAAATTAAAAATCGATAAGAGTTCTCATTCATAATAGTAATAGAGATATATTTCAAAGAACTTTACTTAAAATTAACTTTTTTAATTTTGTACTAGTTTATAGCACTTGGTGGTATAACTTAACAAAATAATATCAATCATTAAATAAAGCATAAACGAACCAATAAATAAACAAAAAGGTTAATTTATTTAATAAAACGTACAACGTACGGCTTTGGATGCCGATTGTCGTGTGTATGAAGAATACAGTCAACGTGTGTTCAGTACAGTACGATATACTGAAAGAGAAAAGACTATAAAATACGGGAGAAAAATGAGAAGTTTATTACCTATCCACTTAATCCGGATCGGTCGACAATAGAATTTGTGATATTTACAACATTATGTAATTAATTGATTATCGGTCCTATTATGTAACTGAGGATGATAACTACGTAATAGAGCATATCTTTTGGTTAGTTTATTTAATGAAGCGTACACACGGCTTTGGTTGCTGATTCTCGTGTTGGTAATTTTCGTGTTCAGTATAATACGATATACTGAGAGAGATGCTGATGCTCTATTACGTAGACACGTACATCCCTAGTTGCATAATAAGACAGATAATCTATTAATTACAAACCGTACTAAAAGCGCAAATTCTGTTGTCAAACGCTGTAATCAGTATAAGATTATGTATTAGATAATTATGGAGGTGCATATGAATCATTAAACGAGTCATCATTGTGTTTGGTTTAACAAAAAGATCAATCATTTAATGTCTCACTTCACACTGTCTCACTCCATTATTATTTAATACTGATTAGAATGGTCGACAATAGAATTTGCACTATTTACTACGTAATACAGCATATTTTTTGGTTAGTTTATTTAATGATATAACCGATAATGTACACACGGCTTTGGGTGCCGATTGTCGTGCACAGAGTCTATAGACTCTGTGATTGTATAAATGAACAAAGAGAAAAGAGCAAGAACTTTCCCAAGCGCATAAAGTTGAGGTCCGGATTAAGTGGATAGGTAATAATTTTCTCTCCCCGACTTACAAGATTGCCATAGCGATTCACTTCTAGACATGTAGGTAAATGATGCCTAAAATAAATGACCCAAGATTTTCTCTTGCCTACTGAAATGAAGATAATATATCTAAGCTAAATGTAATCTATTACAGTTGTAGTAAAATGAGTAACTAATTGTCGAAAATCCAGATCCAACCCTGATGCAACATTTTTTTGAAAGGTCTACTTATGCGGTTTGAAATTTTGATGCAAAATCCGGCAATACCGCTCAGAAGAAATGTACCCACCCATACCCACCCAACTTTTTTCTCTTTTTAATACATTTGATTTGCCATTAAGCTGTCTACATCACTGTCTTACACGTTAAAATCTTGACCTGTCCCGATCGGTATAGGGTTTTGCTATATTCGGAAAAGTCACGTGAGAAGAACTTTAGAGTGTGTTTAAGTGGCTATAAGGCTTTTACTAGTTTAGCTAAGTGGTAGTATATAATATGGTGTTTAGATTTACAATATTTGATTGGTGTTGTTTTTTGTTTCTAGATTGCTTTTTTGGAGAAACGGTACGAAGACAGAGAACATCGTTTGAAAGCAGTAATCCAAAGTATAACACAGAATCCCATGACCAGTCAAAGTTGCGATCAGTGCGCTGAACGGCAGAGAGAATTAGTGGGGTATAAAATTGAATTGGACCAGCTTTTAGCAGCTGTTAGAGCTTTAAAATAGACTTATTGGTCTATTATTTGACAAAGAATAATTTCAGTGATATTACAATTTACTTGAAACCTAGTCATTCCAAATTTACATTTCCTAATTTTTAGTTTGCTGTTGTAAATTAGATTAAGATATAGTTGAGTATAAAATATTGCTTAATTTACATAAATTTGACATGTTACAAGATCTGTATATATTTAGAAATTGAGTGAATATTGGTAAAGAAGTGTTAAGTAGAGATAGCAGTTTCCGTCCTTAAATTTTTATATTTCACTTATTTATTGTACTGTTTATTGAAGAAATTAAACTTGTTTTATCTATTTTCTTTTAGTTTTCTTTTAAATAACCAGCTTCGCAACCAGACCAGAGCTGTATAATAATTATACATAATTCTAATTATAATATTTATATATAATATATTATATATAATTCTAATTATAATTCGAATTAATCAATAATTTGAACTGAACAATACTCATAGAGAAAAGCAACGATACAACACTGCATTGTGCCTGAGCCGCGTTAAGGTGATTTGGTACTCTAGGTACCATTGATTTTGCCTGCCCGTTCGACTAATAAAAATTCAAGTAAAATTCATGGAGTTTTAAAAAAAGTTGATGTTTTTTTTTAAATGGCATATGTTATGGAATATGGAATAACTGTCATGCAAATTCAGAAAGCCCCCTTTAGTAAAATATGTATTTTCTTACAGTGTTTTAATAACTTTGAAACTAAGAATTCATATTCATTATTCAGGCATTCGGACGGAAACTTCGGCAGCATATATTCTGCAGATAAAAATAAATAAAAAAGTTCGTATAAATATATATCCTAAAATGCTTCTTTTCAGAGATACAGGGTTGTAGAAGTTTTATATTTATTTCGATTTTTCCAAATCATTTCTAAACCGACGTCGCCCTAAACTAACGTCAATCTTTGGATGAAAATTGGTGTCTGGGAGTTTGTTGGCATGAAAAAATTGATTTTGATGTCAATATGACTCCTATTGTAAAGTTTCTGTCCGTACCGGTATAAATATACTGATCGAATCGATTACGAATCGAAATTATCAATACCTGTCATCATTGGCATAAATTAAACATGTTGACTAAATAGTTATTAGACTGAAATCATAAATTTGAAATGTTATTGTGCCAAAAGTTTAACAGAAACTGGTTTTATCATCATTTTTTCGAAGAAAAAATTATAATTAATTTTAAAAAAATTAAAAGTTTCCAAATTTATCATTTAAGTCAAATAACTCATGTTTATTTTTTTGTCAATAAAGACTTGTATCGACTATTTCCATTCTAAATATCTTGAGAACGGTTAGACGTAGCGATTTTTACCAAGAGACATTTTTTACATAAAAAATCACGGAATTGTACATTTTTTCACTCAGTAGTTTTATATAGGTACGAATGAAAAGTTATTAAAGGATATCACTCTTCAAAACAGTTAAAACAAATGTAGGTGGCGCCCCCTACAATTAGGAGTCATATTGACATCAAAATCCAATTTTTTCATGTCAAAAAACTCCCAGACACCAATTTTCATCCAAATATTGATGTTACTTCAGAAATTATTTGAAAAAAATCGAAATAAAAATGAAACTTCTACACCCTGTATCGCCGAAACTAAGCATTTTAGGACATACGTTTATACGAACTTTTTTACTTATTTTTATCTGCAGAATATGCTGGCGAAGTTTCCGGAATACAGTTCGGACCACCCTGTATGTAATTTTTAGTAGTGGCAAAGAGCTTAAATATGGCGACCTTCTTATTAAGATATGTTTACCTCATACACATTAAATACATCATTTTTAGGAGGCACACTTAGTAGAAGCTCATGTCTACGTCTATATTTACTAAAAATTAAAAGTAATTAAATTGTCACATTTTAGACTTCATTTTGTTTATTATCCATTGTTATAGTTTATTTTAGCAGAAATATTTAAAAAATAAAGATAATGTAGATATGTACCGGGTGTCCCACTAAGAATAGCTCTCGGCTGTATCTCGGAAAGTATTAGCCGTAGGGGCTGCGGAAAAAAATATTTATAACTAAAGAGGCTATGAGAAATTGCTGGAAATTATTTTCAAGTTTGTAGAACGACCGGTAGGGGGCGCAACTGCAACAAAAAATATGAAAATGGAGTTTTAACACAATTTTGCCTAGATAAGGTGTACTATAAGTAAGAACTTCATAATCTTCAGTAAATTTTGAATATTTTTTGTTAGAGCCATTTTTCTCTATCTACCAAAATAAAGTGGTGAGGGAAGGTTAGATCTGTTTTTATTTATATATTAATAACTCTGGACTGGATGATCGAAATCCAACAAGCAAGGGCTCGTTTAAAAGAGCGTTTCTTGCTCTATATTATGCCATATAAACAATAATAATAAGCTTTTGAACGTAGACGCTAGGGGGCGTTGTCTTACAATTTAACAAACATTGCGCGTAATGCAATAGTATATGTAATTTTAGCTGATCGTAAAGAGTAGTAAAAGCAAACCGAAGATATTAGCAAAATTATAATAAATACCAAAAAATAAGCCTTTAATTAGCTTATTTTTACAACACGGTATCAGTAGCCCTCTTGATTATGCCCATTCTAACAAAAAATAAGATAGAAACAGTTAGTTTATTTTAAAATCGACGAAATACCAGAATACCATAATACCAGAGGTTGTATATATCTAATAATTAAGATATTAATGTGGACAAGAAACGATGATTCAGTGAAGTCATGGTAGGCTTTGGAAAAAAGTTGCTTTTGACGTAAGAGTATAAACGTCAAATTGTTATTAGATCAACATTTTGATAGCCTTAGCAGCGTTTTTTATTGCCTTTATTATTTGAAGTAGTTGAAGTTTTTGGCATTTTGAAAAAGCAATCAAAAGATAACAAACGCTGCTATGACTATCAAAATGTTGATCTAATAACAATTTGACGTTTATACTATTACGTCCAAAGCAACTTTTTTTCAAAGCCTACCATGACTTCACTGAATCATCGTTTCTTGTCCACTGTTATTAATATCTTAATTATTAGATATTAATACCTATGGTATTATGGTATTCTGGTATTTCGTCGATTTCAAAATAAACTAACTGTTTCTATCTTATTTTTTGTTAGAATGGGCATAATCAAGAGGGCTACTGATACCATGTTGTAAAAATAAGGTAATTAAAGGCTTATTTTTTTGGTATTTATTATAATTTTGCTAATATCTTCGGTTTGAAAGAAGATATCAAGATGCGGTTTTCGTTGACTTTTTAAGCTTTTACTACTCTTTATGATCAGCTAAAATTAAATATATATTGCATTTAATTTTTTTGAAAAAACGCGCAATGTTTGTTAAATTGTAAGACAACGCCCCCTAGCGTCTACGTTCAAAAGCTTATTATTATTGTTTATATTGTATAATATAGAGCATGAAACGCTCTTATAAACGAGCCCTCGCTTGTTGAATTCCGATCATCCAGTCCAGAGTTACAATGGCGAACAAAAGTATTGAAACATTTTATAAACCTTTAATATTGTACATAATATGTATATTATTATGTTTTTTTTTATAAAATACTATTTTTAATTTAAGGGACGGGGTATAAAATATCATACATTAAAAATATAAGTATACACTTAAAAATATTTAGAAAATAAATTTTTATTAAAAAAAATGGTTAACAAAAGTATGGAAACATTTCTAAAGCATACACAAAAAAAAAATATTATTCAATCAATAATTGAAATATTTTTTTAATATTTAGTCGGCCATCCCTTGGCTTTAATGACTGCTTGACATCTTCTCCCCATCGAGTCTATTAGCTTTGCACAATAATCAATTAAAATTTTATGCCACTCTTCCTGCAAAACTACCCATAAATCTTCTCGGTTTGTGATTTGTCTTTTTCTGATTTGCTTTTCTAACTGCATCCAAAGATTCTCGATGGGACTTAAATCGGGCGATTGAGAAGGCCAATCCAAAACCCGAATTTTTTCCCTTGAAAGCCAATTCTTCACAAGTCGAGAGGTATGCTTAGGATCATTATCCTGTTGGAAAATCCATGACAAAGGCAGATCATCTTCGTATGGCAACAAGTTTTTCTCCAATATCTCAACATACTTTTGAGCATCCATACGCCTTTCTGACCAACCCAATTCTGACTAACGGACCAGTACCAGATCGTCTAAAACATCCCCACACTATCAGATTTCCTCCACCATGTTTGACAGTTGGAATTAAATACTTCAGGTTAAATCTTTGACCAGGAGGCCTTCTCACATATCCTGTAGAACCACTTCCAAATAAATTAAACTTGCTTTCATCACTGAAAACTACTGAAGCCCACTGATCTTGTGTCCAGTCTTTGTGATCTCTAGCAAACTTTAATCTTGCTATTCTGTGGCGCTTCGTTAACAAGGGCTTTTTGGCGCGTCTACCATAAAGGTTCTCCTTTAGTAGGCGCCGTCTAACAGTCATGTCAGAAACGTTTACATCTGGGTATTCCTCCCTAAGTTCCTTGTTAATATCAACGGCACTTTTTTTTGGGTCGCTTCTGGCTTTTCTTAAAATTATGTGGTCCATTTTTAAGGAAGTTTTTCGCGGTCTTCCACTTTTAACTGCGGGATCTACAGTCCCTCTTTGTAAATAACGCTTAATAATCTTACTTACTGTACCCCTTCTGATGTCCAACCGCCTAGAAATATCAATTTGCTTCACACCCTTTTGATATAATGCAACTATCTTCTGTTTAAAGTCAGAGGCATAATACTTGCATTTCGGCATTGTATTTGAAAATAGTACTATTACACCAAGTCACTAAGGCAGACCACTAACTAAAGTAATTTTAAATAAAAATATTTAAAATGTTTCCATACTTTTGTAAACAACCAAATACCAAAACACCATTATAATCGACAAAACCTTGTCAAATGTTTTTTTATATTTTATCAGTAAAATTCTTGAGGTTAATCAAGAATAGATAAAATACAGTGTTACCAGCAAGTGAGATATTCCTAAGAAATAGTATAAATTAAAATGTTTCCATACTTTTGTTCGAGACTGTAATAGTATTTAAATAAAAACAGATCTAACCTTCCCCCACCACTTTATTTTGGTAGATAGGGAAAAATGGCTTTAACAAAAAATATTCAAAATTTACTGAAGATTATGAAGCTATTACTTATAGTACACCTTATCTAGGCAAAATTGTGTAAAAACTCCATTTTCTTATTTTTTGTTGCAGTTGCGCCCCCTAGCGGTCGTTCTACAAACTTGAAAATAATTTCCAGCAATTTCTCATAGCCTCTT